TGATCAGAGAGACCTACTGGTATACCCCCATGGTTATATATCCCATCAAATGTGAAAGTTTACATTGGTAGGCCCTAGGATTGCTTGATGTGAAGTTCTAGAAGTGGGAAATGGAATAGGACACCTATTATTTCCCTTGACCATAGTTTCCACAGTGGAAATAATGATACATCTACATACTCCAGGGATAATATTGATGATGATTTGTCATGGTTAAGACACAGTAGCATTTTAAAAGTGAAATTAGAGTATTGAAAATAGAAAAAACTACTGTAGCATGCTTTTTGTGATATCCCATCCTGTGTACTTGTCACTACCGTAAGTGATGTAGGATGTACAACTCAAAAACCTTAAAAGCACAGGCAAAATTAATTATAGTAAAATAAAATAATTACAAAATATGGTGTATCTCAGCTAAACCTCAGCAGGGTTCTGTTACGAGATAGATAAACTGGCATACATGAACAAAAACTATACAATTGCATCTTGTTACTATTTTCAGTATCTCAATGACCATGAGATATCCAAAATAGTATATGGACACTGATATTTAGACATGGGAAACATGTCTTGTTATATCTTCATGTTAAATTAAACTCACATTTTGGAAGTCAGCAGCCATTCAGAAGCTAAAGATACAAGTTAAAAGTGTTTATAAAAGAATTTGGCGCTCATTAGCTAACTCCAGTTACAAAACAGTTTTCAGATTAATGTTGCTTCTGTGTTCAGAAAAGTCAGCCACTCTTCTTATACTAGAGTTGTGAATGAACATTTGTGTACTTTATTACCTCAGCGTATTTGTTGATTTTTATCTAGCAAGGACGTTATGGCTGCCTTTTGCAAATCAGCACATGTTTCTAGGTGATTTCTTTGATTCTGGTTATTCACTGAGTTTGATCTTTAAAGATGGTTTCCACCGGACTTGAGAGGCAATGATGAGGAGAAAAACGGGTGAAGATTTTGCCCAACATTGAGATGGGTCTGTTGTATAGAATTATCAGATTTTGCAACAGGAGATATATGTTACCTTGAGGAGATGTAGGAGATGCATTCTGGTTGGCAGGAGTTCTATATACATATTGCTAATTGAAAGATATCTTGGATGTGTTAGTCAAATTATGACAACTCAGAACCTAACTGACAGGGGAAGCGGAGATATCATATGGCTTCTTGGTCTCATTAATCTTTTCTTTGCACAATGGTGCTTTTTAATGGCTGGAACTCTAGGCACCATGCCATGTCAAGATCATGTTCACACAAGTGTTCGGATACTATAAGTAATGAGGTTTACTTTTAATTGTTAAGAGTACCAATGAGATTATTGACAGTTACCTTTTTTGGAGTACATTATAGACTCCAAGATACATTTCACTATCTAGTAGCTAGAATAGTTCTTTTTTTTCCTCTGACTGAAGTAGCTCTTTGGTCAGGTGGAGGGTGGGGCAGATAAAACTTCAAAGCTTCGGCAGTAGTTCTCTCAAGTGTAAATTGCAGTGATGAGTAAGTCAGACAGCTTTGAAATATCATAGCTGGGAACAATGAGACTGTACAGATGAGCACTACAAGACTACAAATAGAGATGTAAGTGTTCATCATATATCTTTAACAAAGAAAAAGCTTAAGATAGTATTAGTTCTTTAGAAATATATCATGGTACTTAAATTGCCTGTACCTTAGGAGAGTGCCTCTCCATTTGGTTTAATGATCGAACCAGATGCTCAGGTCTTTTGCCAGAAATTTTGGCAAGTAACCTGGGACTTCCCACAACAGGGTTGTCCTTCTACCAAATGGGATATGCTTGGCAGCTCATTCTTGCTTCTATAGGAGTGGTTGATTAACTGTGCTTTTTCTCCATCTGTCTCCTCGGTTCAAGTTACTTTTTTTTAATCTATACATAAAAACTAAAAAGAACACATTTAAAGAGGTTCTTTTGTCTATTTTACTTTTGTTCTTCCTTTTAAATTTCGGGTGTCAAAATGAAAAAGGTGAGAGATTTATTTTTGTCTTTGGTGTATTTAACAGTAACTATAGTTGGAATGATGATTTCCTTGTTTTTTTTTTCTCTGCCTTCTTCCTTCTCAGTTATTTCTTATACACCTCTGTTGTCCTTCATGTTTATTTACCTTATGCTTATTGTATCGTAACTAATTTGTTTCTCTGTACTTGGGCTTATATGTGTAGGTTCTTTGATCCCAAAACGTTGATTGCTTCATGGGCCGTTGAAATTGGAGCAGAGGAAAGTTCCTCCAGATGTTCAGTATTTGCTTGGTCATCAATAAGGTGCCCCGAACTTTTGTGCTGCAATCTGGTTCAGACCATCAATCCTCCCTGGTTCTACCTCTCCATGATCAAGTACTTCCAGGCTTTGTGGAAGCATTCTCTTAATGATGTGATCTCTAATTTTTGTAGTGTGTTCATTTGGCTTACCTTGAACCATGCCGTGCGTGTGCCACGAAGGAATTCGACCTTGCTGGAACCAGCAAGGTTTCTCACCATTGTTACTTGCAAGTTGTTCTCACCGTGAAATGACGTTATTCGTTCGTTATTAGGTGATTAGTAGATCTGCTGAGACTTGCATGTACTTGTTGGGAACTTGGAAGTCGTATCTCCCCAATAGTTGGTTGTGATGTACATCCTTAATCAAAATATGGTCCTTATGTAAATATATATTGTACAGAAAAGAGAGAGAGTTCCAGAATGAACCAATAGTTTTTTTGTTTTTGGCAAAGACCAGTAGTGTATGCCCGTATGTGTTCATTGCTCTGCTGCTGTTTTCCTTCGTAATGCAAGTAAATAATTTTGTTACCATATTCGATCGTCTTCGACTGTCCCACAGAAGCAAAGTTGTTCGTTTGCGTAGTGTGACCACTTTTAATCGGTTCTTCTGGGATTTTACAGTTCGGTCGCAGCAGATGTAGATGAAGCCAAACTACAACGCTTAGTTTTTTGGTTGGTACGCCCAGAAGCATCCCGATAAAAAACCGAGGCATGCACCAACAGGTGTTGCTGTCACGAACCATGCAGGAGACCACCTCTCGCCGACGGGCGCGGTTAGCGTCACCCTCGATTCTGGGCCGGGCTTTTCCCTTGCCGTTTGCCTCCGTTTAGGGTAGCGGAACCGCCGTCCCTCACGACCGAGCCCTGCCAAGTCAGCCACGGACCCACCCGATGTGGCACGCTGAGAGCTCTGACGTGGGCTATCTCCCTCGTTGGTATCGACGTGCTACGACCATGGGTTCCTCGTGAGCCAACAGGGGACGCTAAACCCCCTCCTCCGCCTCTCCAGCTGGAAGGAGGAAAGCACGGACTCGAACACAGAGGACGGCGAAACAAACAAAGAGATAAAAAGGCTGATAGCTCGAAGTCCGAAGCCTCTCGTCTTGTCTTGTTCGACGGATTCACGCCTTGGCTAACTTCATGACGTAACTTCTGGCCCCACAGACGGCCGCGGGTTCACAGTCTCTATCCCGTTCTTCTGCCTCTGCCTTTACCTCCTCCCTCCCCCGCCCTCTATAAGTACTAATCAGCCTCGTTTTGTTTTCTTGTAGCTCGGAGACGATGGAGTGTCGATTCTTGGCTTGCTACGAGGAGTGGCTCCAAATCCAGGGAGCCGATCTGAACGAGCTCCTCCAAGCCATATCGAGCCAGAATGGGAGCAGGGCCCGCAGCGAGATGGAGCTCCGGGAGCTAGTTGAGAAGAGCGTGCGGCACTACGAAGAGTATTACGAGCGGCGGCGGAGGCTGCTGCGGGAGGACGGGCCCGCCTTCTTCGCCCCGCCCTGGTGTAACTCCTTCGAGAAAGCCGTCCTCTGGGTCGGCGGCTGCCGCCCCTCCATGTTCATCCGCCTCATCTACTCCCTCAGCTCCGCCGGCCTCGAGGCCCACCTCGACAACCTCGCCGGCCGCGCCTTCGCCTCCCACGGCGAAGGGCTGGTGGAGCTGTCGGCGCCACAGCTGGTCCTCGTCAACGAGCTCCACCGGTCGACGCTGCTGGAGGAGAACAGGATCACGTCCCAGGTGGCCACGCTGCAGGAGAACTTGGCCGACCGGCCGCTGCTCCCGATCGTCAAGGAGCGGCAGAGGTGGCGAAGGAGCGACACCTCCCGCGGTGAGATTGGCGACCGCGGGGACGCGGAGGTGGTGGCAGCGATGGGTCATATGCGGCGGCGATGGCGGGTCTGGTGGAGGCGGCAGATCGGCTTAGGCTGGAGACGGCGAGGACGCTGCTGTCGGACATCCTGACGCCGAAGCAGGCGGTGGAGCTGCTGGCGACGGGGAAGCAGCTCCACCTTTCGGTCCACGAGTGGGGCCACCAACGGGACCTGAGCCACGGCCGCGGTGGATGAGGTATTGACTCAATGTATATGACCTAAGAAAACGAATATATATATATATATATATATATATATATATATATATATATAGAGAGAGAGAGAGAGAGAGAGAGAGAGAGAGAGAGAGCCATCATGTGAATGCGCTGAGGAGACGATAACATGTAACGTGGATGTTGAATTTGTCCATAGACACGCGTTAGGGTGTAATAGTACGTAAAATCTATATGACTCGTATGTTGTTTGGTTACTATCGTGTCTGTTCATCGTGGTGGACACGAGTTCGGTTTTCATTCCGTATGGCAAAGGCGGTAGATAGAGAAAGCAGCAAGAGGAGAGAGATATCTTATAATGTGATGTCAGTAGATAGCAACTAAATGTGTCTTTGATGCTTCATGCGACTTTGTATATTTGTGGTCTATTGTACGTACGTACGTAGACTGCACCCATCTTGACATGGGGTGGCTTTTTGTCATGCATGGAAAAAGGCAGTAGTAGCGGCAAGCGTCACGTGGCGGCAGTGCCACTTGCGGGGATGATGACGATGTACTGATTCATGCTTGATTACATGGCCATGTCATAGAAGTGTACTCTTATGGTGGTATCAACAGCTTAATTTGATATACATATCGTAAGGATGAAATGTCTATAACCTGATAGACCTCAAAATAGCCACAACCATAATCGTTGTATAGAAATTATAAGAGAATGTCTCGGCCCCCCAATAAACCAACTTGTGGTAATAGCAAATACAATGACGATATGTTTTCATGTTCGTAGTAGCCCATATTGACACACCTTGATGCTTGCACATCGCGGCAGATCTCTGGTACAGGATTGATTGCTATGGCTATATGAGAGGATGATGGATCCCCAGAGAGAGGACGTCCATCGAAGAGGAGAAAGACATAAGCATGTTGAGGTTCACATTGATGAACGACGACAAATAGACAAAGTTGAGGCACAAAATCAGCGAGGAGATCCAGGTCTGGAACAAGCAACAAAACCAGGTTAGCTCGCTTTAATGGACAGGATCTCCAGTTCTGCCCACCAAAGTGGAGAAAGTCTTGGCATGGCTGCTTCAGGTGAAATAGGTATCACTCCCTTCAATTTGGAAGTGACGTCCTTCATGGTTGGCCTCTTCGGTGGGTCGGGATTAACGCAATCTTGGATGACCTCGGAAATGATACGGAGTTCCTCATCTTTGTGGGCTTTCAAAGCAGGATCAACCAAAGAGCTGGCGCCGCCGTTGCCATTTAGGTACTCCGCAACCTGTAGTTTCAGAAAAGAAGATATCTTAGATCCCGTACCACATCTTCTAGTCCAATGAGATCAAAAAAATTTGTGGTACAACTTCTCAGAAAACTCAAGAACAAGAAAAAGTTCAAGGTTGTCATTAGTTTCTAGTGCTGTGACAAGTATGTGTGAGCTGACCAAGTTCAGAAGGGATTCTGGTTCTTCGGGGTTTGGAACTTTTCCAGAAACTATTTCTAGCATCAATATTCCAAAATCATGAACGTTGCGTGCAGGATCAACAGACAGGGATTCAGACTGATCGAGGTCACCAGCTCCATGAGTCTTTTGCTTGGCAACGATTTCATTCCAAACACTGAGATCCGTTACCTGCATCGGATAGCCACAGCATTTGATCATACGTATCAATGACAAAATGGCATAGCATGTCTTCCCTGTCAACTAGTATGATCAAACATCCCTTGATAGAAAAGCTAACAGATACCATAAGATGTGTACTGAGGTCACCTTAGCAGCAAAATCTTCTGATATGAGGATGGAGCTTGAGCGCAGTTTGGGATGCGATATGGGTGGGTTCAGTTCATGCATGTGCTGGAGACAGTAGGCAGTCCCCATTATTAGCCTCATTCTAGCACTCCAATCAAGATGCTCAAATTCTTCTGATACACACAAGTAAAACCCGTTAATCGTTTGGTCTGTTACTACCTGCTGCTGACTTAAGCTTTCATCAAACACGAATGCATCAACTTTTCTTACCATGAAGATGCTCATAGATTGTACCATTGGATGGATATTCAAGGACCATCATTCTCACAAAAGGCACATCCTCCTCGCAGTAACCAAGGAGATTGACGAAGTTTTTGTGGTTTATACGAGATAATGTGTCAACCTGCACGTCCAAAATGACAAAGAAACATCAATGCACCAACCACAACAATAATGTGTTCAGTTTGTACTTAACCAGAGAAGGCATTTTGCTTCAAAGATACCAAGAATGAAAACCTTTTTCCTGTAAAGAAAATCCGAATGCTTCGACCAATCACTGGCAGATGTGATACTTGTGGACACAACTGCAACCTCAACCCCACTCGATAATGTTCCCTTATAGACAGTGAAATCTGGATGGCTGCAAATAATGTTGCTGAAATCCTCACAAGCAGCTTCCAGCTCTGAGGCATTCAATTTTGGCACCCCTGCATATGTGAAAGTTGTGCGTCAATATACACAAGAACAAAATATTTAGTTCATTCAGTAACAGTTCCATATGTAATCGAAACAGAACACAACCACCCTTGCCAACAGTGGGGAAAGAGTGCCATTGAACAGAAACATATGGTTAGTGGGGGGAACCGTATGGTCTTGGGTACTCCCTAAACTATGCAGAATATAATAAGGTTTCATTCAGTAAGCTAATTTGGTGCTTCAATTTGACTTGAAGTACACCCATTACGAAACAACCCAACAAGATATTACAGAGAAGGTTACCCTGAGAATATTCTGATAACACCATATCAGTCAACATTTCACACAACTTAAATTTTTATACATATCATACATGCACTTTTCTCTCAGCTAACACAGATTACATGAAGTGTTTATTTAGGGTTGTAGCTTCAGTAATTATACTATCATATTAATAATGACCAAAAGTAAGGTAAGAAAAAGAGGATGTACCTGATACAAATGCCTTCTGCAACTGACCACTTAGACCAGTTGTCCAAGGACCGGTTGCAGCCACACCCTTGCTACGGCAAGTCAAATACACGAGTGCCGCTAGGGCAAGAAGTAAAGCAGCCACTGAAAGGACAAGAATGTATGTCCAAGTTGCTGATCTTTTACTTGATGATAGATCATTTGCCACAGAATTTTGTGTTGGTTCAGGATCAGTTACAGATGGAGAAATGGGTAGTGGACTTGGAGTTATAGGAGCTGGAGATGGCTCAAGTGTAGATTTGGCTCTTATTGCAGGGAACGATCCACTTGCAGTGGGTGGAACAATGACAACTTGATTTACAGGGCCAATGCTTCCAGGAGCAGCATGGAGGTTCCTGGTTTCTTCAACCAGGCTACGGCGAACAGAATGCATATGTATACCTGACATTATATACTGCTCGCCAAAACCAGCTAAAATCAAGAAAGAGTATCATTATTATTGTAATAAAAACATTCTAGAGGACAAGAATATTCAATCATCAGTAAATACTTTCTACTTACTGGCTAGATTACTCTTTCCTTTCTCATATCCGCGAGAAAGTCCTTTGGATCTGAAGCTCAAAAGCAGAAGTCTTCTGCAGTTGGAATAGTTAAAGCAAATTGCACCATTAGCTATCTGAATAGTTATTGTTGAGAAAAAAATACAAGCAATAAGAATAGTTCTTACAGCGATGATGTGTCAAAGATTTTTATGTTTCTCCCTTTAAACAGGAACAGAAAGGAGTTAATTCTCTTCAGTTTTCGCCAGCCAGTCTCCCAGAAGCTGATACATGTCTAATAGCAGTAAGTACATAAATAAAAAAATCTGTTCAATACTTAGAGATTGAAACTTGTAAAGGATGAAAACTAAGAATTAGCCAAATGCAAAAATAGGGAACTGGATAGAAGAAAAATGAACAGTATTAAGAGAATAACATAACAAAGATTATGAGCCCTCGTTTTAATATAGAGATTCTTGGCTTCATGCTCATCTATATAGTGGTTCTTGGTTTCATGCCCATCCCAAAATTTCTTGAACAGAAACCTGATACACATAAAGAATTTGTGTTTCAAGCTCCCACTTTTATGAACTCAAAGCTCTTAAATCACAGCATACTTTTTCTTAATCAATAGACCATTTTCATTAAGAAGGTCAAAGTCCATATCCAGGAGACCAGGAGCATCTCTAGAGATTCTGTTCATATATAATCTACAGTCGAACTACCTTATCCCCTGCACTCATAAGGAAGTCAACCTAGGCGGCCATCTTATACTGATAACCTAAATATCTTTTGAATCATTCTTTTCTATATGTTTAATTAACGATAATATCTATTGCAACATTCAGAAGTCAATATTTAATGAGCATCCACTAAACAACCTAACCATAGAGACCGAGTGTGTCCAAGATGAAACCTTTTTAGTAAAACTTCAGCCAGCATTTTGTGACATTAGAAAAAACGCATCAGGAACTACAATATCAAAGATGCAGTAAAAACCTGTTTGAATTGTTGACTCTTATAAAATCAGAATCATAATAAAAATCTTAACTCATTTCATTTCAAAATAGCATGTAAACTACAAAGTATGTCAGGTTGCTTCTGTGCTTATGCACCAAAGATGAGCCACTTCCTGAACTCTTGATCGGTCCATACCCCACTTCCATTTCTTGGGTAATATGAGAAAAATAATTTATAACTTTACCATAACAGCAATGGAAGCAGAATTGTAAAAGCATATGAAATCGAGTTCATAAGTTATACGAAAGATGCACATATAAAAATCAAAATTTATAAAAGAAAAAGCTTTACCAACTGACTCCTATATTATTGTTTACTATTGACCACTTCTATTCTTTCATCTTAAATTCAACCTCATCAGTAGCACACAGGACTTCATATGGAAATAGTCAATTACTACTTTGTTGATCGTTAACTCCTAACACTTGCCTGAATATATCCTGACTGCAATGGAAGAGGAAGCTTATGTAAAGTACCTATACTGCATTGTGATATTGAAGCTAACAAATTCTGTTCTTAATTCAGATTATACTCGTACAAAACTGTGATGATCAAATCAAACCTTATACTGCAATTCTTCAGCCTCAAATTCATTTAAAGATAATCACACTTACCTTGATGCTCATTAATATGCATAATTTCCATAAACATTTAGAAATAACAAATAGAAACTCACCAATCCCCAGCTTTCCTGTTCGCATGTCCCAGATCATCAGGTGCATCACAAGAAATGTTCTGATCAAGAATCAGATCAAAATGCAATTTGGGATTTTCGATCCAAGGTGTGCTGCCTTCGAATTTGTTATAGCAAAGCAGACTGAAAAAGAAAAACAGAATTTCCTCATTTGTTAGCTTTCTTGGTGATGAAGCAAACATGTATATTTGCAATAGTGGACTCACAGATGCTTGAGAGATAGCATTTCCCCAATCTCCTTTGGAATTGTACCATTTAGCATGTTACTTCTCAAATCCAAGAGCACCAACTTTGTTAGTCCTCCAATCTCCTTAGGGATTACTCCAGAAAATTTGTTCCTGTAAAGTATACTGTTGATAGAAAACTAGTTAATACATAATAGGAACAATTAGGATACATTAACTTTGTTTTCACTGAGCTAGGATGGCCTGAAGGTTTGATGACATTATCAGAGCTGAAAGTATTACACAGAAGAAATTCCACTATATATTTAGTTTAAGATTATTACTTGACAGCTGTTAAACTTGAAACAGACTTTAATCTCTAAGGATCTTGATAGTAAATATGTAATTTCCAATGTACGAAGAAGTGGGATCATCCAAAAGAGCCCTTAATACAAGCAAAGAAAAGTGTGGCCACTTAATCGTTTCTTGAGAACATTTTACCATCAAGGAAGCGGGAAATATTACAACATGCTAAATAGGTGCTTTCAAGTAATACTCCTCTGTAAGAATAATTTTAAAAATGGAGCTATCAGGAATTAATTTTGATGGGAGGCAAAGAATAAGAGATGGTGCATAAAATTTATTGGAATATGGAAAGGTAAAGGAAATAATTCACACAATATAACCAGCCTTATCAATATAAATAGTTCCTACATATCAATATTATTTCTTTTTTTTAAAGCTCTAAAGTTCTTCAAATAACTCAAACTATTCCCAGAACTTCTTTATAACTATATCCTTATTAAATTACAGTTCCTTCTATTTTCAACAATTCTTATACTTAGGCAATTATAACAATGCTTTCCATCTGCATATCATATCAATGATTTTTTGTGGTGAGATATGAAACTAAAATGCAACTTACAGAGCTCTCAGGTGACTAAGCTTCCCAAGCTCAGGTGCCAAAGTTCCTTGCAGAGATAACTCTTTTAGCTTCCTGCCAATGGGCATCATATTAGATCTTGGGCAAATCAAATGAAATGAGAAACATACAAACAGGTTCTTTTTTTCTAGGAGAAAATTCAATAGAAAAAAGATGAATGAAAAATTAAACTGGTATATTTCTATGCCAATGTTCTTTGCTTCGAAAAATGAAGTTAAATATCCAATCTACATGAAAAAGAAGTCAATACACCATTTCTGTTTCCTGTGATTTTTTAATCACGGTTCCTAGAAAGCACCATCTTTGGAAGTAGTATCCTCTCCTACATTTCATAGCCTTTGATTTTTTTTTTTATCAGAAGCCACTCTCCTGGATCTATTTTACTGCACAACAATCTTAACCATGCTCTAATTGTATTTTAAAGTTGAGCGGCATGCGCTGGTTTTGCTAACAAGGTCCTTGTTGATCTTCTCATCCCATATGCTTGTCAGGAAAAAATTGACCAAAAGGATAGGCAAACAGCAAACAAGTTATTTTCACCCATTTGTAGTAATTATATGCAACTTCTAAGTTAATCTCTTCCTACAAATACAATTTCATGGTATTAGTTAAAAAAAGTGAAAAACAATATATAATCATAGGAAAACATGCCAAGCTCTTTGTGTAGATATGGTAACACTTGACAGCATTACAAATTAATTAGCTTTCTTAGCAAGGCTTCCATGATCTGCCCCACCCAAGTTTTCTTGATTTTGGCTGCTTATTAAGTTTTTATTTTCTCATGATGACTCCTATCTCTGGACTTTTTCCCAACACTGAAAGCCTTAATTTACAAAGCGAATACCTATTGCCTAAATCTAACTGAAGCGGCATGAACTAGGAAAGGATATTTTAACTGTGTTGACCCTTCTTAGCCAATTCAACCGAAGGTTCTCTAGGCTGAAGTTTGGCAGCTAATATTAGATTAATCAAAACAAACAATTGAATTCAGTCATAAAGTTGGCAGAAAGAAAAAACATGTTCATATTAGCATGTAAGTAAAGGATGCAAGACATTGGAGAAGTTACTGTTCGAAAAAGAGTCGATATCACAGCAAAGCTACAAAATTTTGTTGAAGGTTTAAGAATATGAAGTTGTTGATTCAAAACACCAAATTCAAATTAGACAGATCAGGGTAATCAAAATGAAATTATTTAAATATTATAGTAGTTACTAGGAAAATTTATATGCCAATCCCAAACCGATAGGCTGCATACATGAATACGTTTTAACAACCCATTACACATTACACAAAGTTTTCTCCTCTAGCAGTATATCATGTCCACGAACAGCCTATATTTAGTCGCGAAGAACAGAACCGCAGACGAAATTATCAAGAGAAACGCAGCACAAAGGGGCAGCGAACTTACAACATCACAACTTTACCACCGACGCAATAAACACCGGTCCAACTGCACGGGTTGCTGTCGCTGGGATTCCAGTTCTCCAATGCCCCATAAGGATCAGACTCCACTCGAGAACGGAATTCCAACAGCGCCAACCCTTCATATGGATTCAGCCTTTATTAAGATATCACCATCAACCGCCAACACCACACCCACCAAGGCATCAAGAAACTAACATGCACACATACCTTCGAGGTTAATCGACAAGCATGCATCGCAGAGGAGGTGAATCATCAGGGCCACGCATAACGCCTTGTGCAAATGGAGCCCAAAGAGATTCAATCCTGCCCCCATTTCCTCAACTCCGATCTCCGAATGCTCTCTCCCACGACAGGCTGTCTACAAGCATTCCCCCTCCTCGACTTCTTGGGATAGAAATCGGCGAGGGGACGATCGCATCAGCGAACAACCCTAGCAGCAACTATCGCACATAAACGGACCCCTCGAACTCGGGTAGAGCTCGAATTCTTCAATTCGAGTCCATCATCTTTCGGCGCCTGAGAAGCATCCCGACCCACCTGAGGAAGAACAACAATAGAATTCAAGGATTCTTCGGGCGCAAGAAATTTCAGGTTCGAAAGGATAGTTTTAGAAAGGAAGAAAAGAAGGGGGAGAGAGAAAGTTGCTCACATGGTGGGAGGACGATCGAAAGGAGGGGGACGGAAGGCGAGGGGTGACGAGCTCCCCCGAGGCCGGCGGATGTGGAGTTTGTTGTTAAAAATAAGTCACGAGAAATTAAAAGGGTATATATATAAATATATATTCCTCTCAAATCAGTGATTATATATCCCAATCAAACAAAAAAAAGACATATATTTGGTAGACGTCGGATAACATATGTAAAATCATTTTTCAATGCCAAAATTACATATGATATTGTTAGGAACATATCTCGGAAAATCCGAATATGCCCTCTCATCCTCAGATTTTCTTGAAATCCTTTTTATTTTAAATATAGAAGGGCGATTTAAAAAAAAAACCTTATTTTGATTTTTTTTCAGAATAATGTCTCACATTTTCAGATTTTTCAACTAACGTCTCCTTATTTGTTTAATTTTGAATATATCTTTGATTTAAGAACCAATAACATATTATTTTTTAATCATAATTACAAATTTTTTTTACTACTTTCTTGATATTACTAAAAATATTATGACGGACTAGACCTTAACTTATCATAGAGATCCCAACAAGTGAGGTTCAATTGTTTGATCCAATCCATATGACCTAATTATTAAGACTAATCGGCAAATGATTTGTCTGCAACTTAATCTAAATTTCATGTCATCCGAACCCAAATCAATATAAAATTTATACTTGACATAGACACTGGTCATTACATCTAAACTAATCATTAGTCTAATTGAAATCAATCATGATTCAAACTGTTTAAGTATATCATGAAAATATTTATTCAGAGTGTCATTAATTGTTAGTGGTAAAAAACTAATTAGAGGCACCTCTGTTGTATTAATTGCATTATGTTATGATAGCAAAGTATGACACATGGATGACTTATGCTACATCAGACATCGGGCAAACATTATGCTGGTATTGAACCTGATACATTTTAACACCCTCGTCTCAATAATAAGATATGATTTTAAATAATTGCTCATGGATTAACTCCCTACTTAATTATGGAATTTTCTTTACAGCATTACAATATCGGAAATCAGTCAAACATCACTTTACTATAATATATATATATATATATATATATTATAATTTATTATTTATTAAAATAAAAGTAAAAAACGTATTCATAGATTTTATTGAGAATTATATCAATTCAAAAATAAAATCTAACTAATTCTACCTAATAGTTGATGAATGAATATTTACATTCAAATCCGATCTAGTGTTAGTTGGAGAATATTCTAAAAAATAAAATTTTAAAAAATTTAGCAAGAACCCTTATAAGTCAACTATAAAATAAATACATATCTAAAAATCAACTATCCTACTAACATATATCAAATACTTAAAGTAGTATTCCCCAAACAACAAATGGAGAACATTTATCTTACAAGATTAGTTTATGTATTTTCCACACCGGATGGAGGACATCAAAAACTATCCAATCGTCATTTTGATGACTTTCTAATCTTCGAAGGGAATGGCCCAACTTACTCTCGATAAGAAAATAAAATCATCTTATACTGATCTTAGTTGTATTATGATGAAATAATACATTGCAATATCTCAATTTATCTTTCAAACATCATTAGTGTCAAATAATATTAGTCGGGTCTTAATTGACTTAATCTTCGGCTTAATTAGTGAAATCATCATTGATTAGTATAATTTAGACTCGATTAGGTTCAATTCAAATTAAAAAAACTTGAATAAATTAAATCAATTCGGAATCACTCTAAATTGAACAAATCTGATTTGATTCGATGGGCACATATCAAACAATGTAAGGACAATGAACTAAGATAGATAGCCCTGAACTAAGTTAGATAGCACATATCAAACAATGGGCAACTCATATACTAGTGTTGTGCACTTTACGGACCATATGCTAAGCTAAACCAGTCTATAGTTCATGGACTAATCATATGTGCTTCGTATAACTACCCATGTAGGGCTAGGCTTAGTCTACTAATTGAGCTTTGATTGGGTTTAATCTACCGGTTGGGTCTCAACTTAAGCTGCTGATTGATTTTGATATAAATATTAATCAATTCCCTCAATTTTAAATTATAATATTATATAATTAAAATATCTAATCATTAATATCGAATCATTGGAACATAATAAATAATATTATATTAAAAATATAAAATTATATAAGGAAGAAAAAATATTTTTAATTAATATTATCTAAGGAATATTTCTTATTAATAGAGAGGAAGTGAGCGAACTTATCCACTACAACCCAAATTATATAATATCCTTTCGATAGTCCTATCATAAAATTTACAAGGACTTACTCCCACTTTCATTCAAGAATTAAAACTTTTTATAATCTTCTCACATGTATTTAATATTTTATCTTTACTTGTTAATAAATTATACATTTAGAGATGAACCCTTCTATGTCTTTATTCATACCATACCACTGGTAACTTTGATGCAAGTCCTAGTGGTCCTGGGATGAATATTAAATTTTAATCTATGAGCATCCTCTAACGGTTGTGTTTTTACTAGATGATTCTCATGTATACAAAGTCGATTATGGAATCTAATAAAACTATCCTCGACTTAGAGGAATTTTAGTCTAAATCCTTAAGTTATCTCCTTAATTATCATTTAAAGATATACATCTTCCTTCAAACTTTCTTTAATCCTTTCTACCAAATTGTGTCATCAAGAATATCAGAAAATATTTATTTGTCTCATATAAAAGTCCCAGCTTTATATCTAACAAATTTGTTATCATAAAATTCTTTTCAACATTCATATAAGCTATAAGACTTGAAGGCTTTCTACTCAAGGCATTAGTAACTATATTGATCTTCCCAAGATGATAGTTAATATTAAAATTATAATTCTTTAGAAAATTTAACCATCTTCATTATTTCATATTTAAATCCTTCTGAGCAAAGATATAATTGAGATTATTATAATTTATAAATATTTCAAAAGTCTATTCATAAATATAATGCCTCCAAATTTTTAATTAAAAATTGATAGTTGCAAACTCTAAATCATAAGTATAATAATTCTTCTCATGAGACTTTAACTGTCTATATGCATAAGTAATTACCCTCTCATTTTACATTTAAACACAATCAAAATTCTTGAAGTGAAGTATCACCGTACACCACAAAACCTTTTAGTTCCTAAAATTTTATTAATATTTATCATCATAAATAAACTTCTTGAAATTATTATTATTTTTTTTGAAATTTTTAAAAAATTTTGAAATTTTTGAAATTAAAAAAAAAAATTATAAATCTTCTATAATATCTAGCCAAATCCAAGAAACTTTTGATACTCAAAACATTAGAAACATGCTTCCAATTCATCATAACTTTAATCGGCCAATAAATAGACCAAAATAAGAAATTATATAGCTAAGAAACTTAAATTCATTGATCTAAAAATTACACATGCTCAATTTGACACATAATTTCTGTTATCTTAGGACTTCTGAAACTATTATGAGATGGTGTTTATCAATGAACATGATTATAAATTTATTAAGATAAGAGTTAAATACTTTGTTCATGAGATCCATTAAGGTAGTTGATATATTCGCGAGTCCAAAAGACACGACTAAGAATTCATAATAACAGTATCTTGTTTTGAAGATAGTTTTCTATATATCTCTTTCTCTTATCTTCAATGGATGATATTCAGATATTAAATTATATCTGAATACCTTGAAGTTGATCAAATAGATCATCTATCAGGGGAAGGGGATATTTATTCTTGATGATCAATGTATAGACGCATGGATCGATCTTTCTTCTTCACAAATAAGACATGGGCACCCCAAGGTGATACATAGATCGTTTCTTTAACTCCTCCAACTTAATTGGTATCATTCTATAAGGAGATTTAGAAACAGATGTAATGCTAAGTAGAAGATTAATTATAAATTCAATCTACCAGTTAGTAGTCTAAGCAAGTCTTTTGAAAAAATATCTAAAAAATCTCGTACAATGGATATTCTTTAATATTGACTTCTCATATTCTTCTTTAAAAATAAAGGTAAAGTACTCATGACATCCTTTCAATAATAATTAAGTAGCACTAAATAATAGAAGATTTTTTTTAATCCCAATAAACTGAAATGATGATTGATCTATATGTGAAAAAGTAACAGTCTTCTAAAAGATAATTGATACTTTCATGGCACGTTGAAAGTTAGTCCATACCCAAGATAGCATCGAAGTCTCGAAACTCCAGTAGATTTTCAACTCGTATTGCTACTATTAATGCATTACTCATCGTCTTAGGAGTCTTATGTAGTCACATGGCAAAACAAGATGGTATACAAGAATACGTAGAATTAAAATATATAAGCACAGTAATAAGCATTCAATATAGTATAATTATACCTTAAATGTTAGATTATAAGGTTTTAATATCCTGATGAGTGAATGCATAGACCATCACCTAACTTTCCTCTTTATATTCTGCTTATTATTGTCTAGATATTTATTATGGAGCTCGACGTTGATATTATTTTAGTAGACAATCATTTGACATATGCCCCACTTACAAGCATACACATTGCCCCATGAGGTATGAGGTGAAAAAATAATTAATCTTCCCACAAAAATAACATAATATGAGAACTTGGTTACTTTGAGCTCCTGACTACTGATATTTGGATTATCCACTCTTGTCCTACTTTAAAGGTTTAGAATGTGATCCCTTATGCATAGATGGCGTAGCACTAAAATATCATTTTCGGTCCTTTGTTTATTGTCATTATCTAATTTTTTTGACATTAGAGATTGATTAAGTATTTCATCATATGTTGATAAAATCAATATAGAAATAAATTTTCTAATTGATGGATGAAGTCTCTTCTCAAAATGACAAGCTCTTTGATGATCATTGCAGGCAATATGTGATTAGAACCAAGTTAGCTTAGTGAAATAATGATAATATTTCATCATAGTCCTACTTCCTTGATTGATACTAAAGAACTCCTATTTCTTCTCAAAGTAGATTGAATCATAGAATTGCTTAGAATATATTTTTAAATTACTCCTAAGTCACAACATTGACTCCTATCTCTAACATCCTCCTTTTGAGATATACCAAATGTCCTCATTCCCTTCCAAAATAAAAGAAGCAAAAGACAACTTCTTTTTTTTTTTTCTGTATATAATAGCTCTAGATGTTTTCTCCGCTTCATGGATCCAACATTCAACAAAGGTAGGATTTGGCTTGCCATAAAAAATAGATGGTTTCAAACATTTAAAGTTATCTAAAATATTAATTCCACCCTGCTTTATCTCGCTCTTTCTAACACTTAAAAGTAGCCTTAATATTATTAAGGACTTGTGTGTATTATCTAGAGTATCGGTAGGTGTTGGAGCATAATATACATTCTATAGTGGCAAGGAAGCTAGTATATAACTAGTAACAGATATATGTAAGGACTAAACCTGTGCCAAAATACATATAACTTCCAAGTTAGGGTTTGGATGAACACATCTTCGAGTGTATGGGCCATTGCTTTTTTTAATTAACTCTATTACTCTTATAATAGGTTAAAAGATAATCATTCGTCAAAATTAATTCTAGGACCCAAATACCTATATGCCCTAAACCATGCTATCATATTATAAAAAATATAATCAAATCCCTCAATTTTAGTAATGATTATTATATTTTCTTTCTTCTAAATAAAATTTAGAAAAGGAATATTTAATATTTTAAGTTGGATGATGTTATTTTTGTCAATAATTTAAAAAAAAATTAAAAAATTAAAAATTATTACCTTATGTGGATAACTCACCTCTTCCTATTTAAGAGGAGTGATTTTCCTCCTTTGTTCCTCGTAAGGGGAGTGATTTTTCTCCTATTTAAAGGGAGTAACATTATGACCACAAGTACCCCGAGTGATAAGACCATTGCTTTTTTTAATTAATTCATTCGTCAAAATTAATTTTAGGACCCAAATACCTATATGCCCTAAACCATGCTATCATATTATAAAAAATATAATCAAATCCCTCAATTTTAGCAATGATTATTATATTTTCTTTCTTCTAAATAAAATTTAGAAAAGGAATATTTAATATTTTAAGTTGGATGATGTTATTTTTGTCAATAATTTAAAAAAATTAAAAATTTAAAAATTATTACCTTATGTGGATAACTCATCTCCTCCTATTTAAGGGGAGTGATTTTCCTCCTTTGTTCCTCATAAAGCTAAGCCTAGCAACGAGAAGAATGAGGAGTTGCACTTGTCGCGAAGAGGTAGGTTCCATTGTTTTTTTTTTTAATAAATATTTTCTTTAATTTTTTTAAAGTGTTTAAAATTTTATTTTATTTTTAGATTACAATATTTTAAAATTATTCATGGTATGTATAGTTTCTAAAATTTTTATGAAGCTAGCTATAAAATTTGATTTCCATTATATTTATATAATAGTTAATTACAAAATATTATTTTATTGCTTATGCAATTTTATCCTTTTAATCTACTGTTATTTTTTATATTGTAATGACTCATTATTAATTACTATATATTTTAATTAGAATTTTATTATGCTATAATTTAAAATTAATGAAATTAATTAGTATTTGAGTTAAAATTAGCTAGTAGGCCATGCTCAGCCTACAAATTAATCGATAGACTAAACCTAGCTAATAGATCAAGCCCAGGTCATAGATTAGCTCAACCTAACTTAATATGAGTAGTAATATGCAATCTTGGCTAGTTTATGGGTTATTGGTTGGCCAATGGTGCATGTACAGTCATATCGAGTGCATATGAGTTGGCCCAACCTAGTCTAATGCTATGTAACTTGGCTCATTGCCCTTATTTTGTTTGATTTGATTCCGAACATTGATTAAATCAAATCAGATTTTATTAATTTAGGTTGATTCAAGATGATTCTAAATCAGTTTAACTTATTCAAGCCTATTTAACGTAAATCGAATAAAATTCAATCTGAATTATACTAATCTAAGATGTTTCAAAATGGTTAAACGAGGATTAGAGATCGGTTTAGTTATGTTCTAATTAAATCAAGTTTAATTAGACTGATTGAGTAAGGGTATAACTCATTAAGGGCCAATTAGCATAAACAATACGAGATAATTTTATTTTTCTATCAAGGGTAAGTAAGATGATTCCCTTTGAGGATTAGCGGGCTATCAAACATGATGACTAGACAGTTCCTCCATCCGTTATTTAGAGGAATGTGTCCCCACTTTGAGAGTAAGAGATACAACTCTACACACTATTCAGAGAACATAAACTCATCCAATAAAATAAAGTATCTCAATTCACTATTAGAAAAGTATTCTATCAGGTATTTGATATATACTAATAGGATGATTTACTTTAAGATATATATTTATTTTACAATTGATTTATAGGAGTTCCTACTCAATGTTACTAAAATTTCTTTATTTTCAAAGCAATCTTCAAGTAATACTAGATCAAATTTTTAGTGAAGAGCAAATATTTCTTTACCACGAGATAGAGTCAATTGGATTTTATTTTTAAATTTACATTACTATATTTCTTAATGAAGCTTAAGACTACTTTTGACTTTTATTTTGATGAATAAAAATTATAATAAATATTAATAATTTATATATATTAATAAAATAATAATTATTTATATGGTTCTTAATGTTCCTATAGAAAGATGTTATCTTATAGGAAAAAAAATTCAAAAAAAATCAAGATGTGACATCTTTTTCGTATATCAAAGTTGACTTAATATTTAAGCATGGTGAGGGGGCTCGAGTAGAAAACGAGTTACCTATAGATAGCGTCAGATGACTCATCATGATGTGGAACTACCATTGAGCTACACATCATATGCATCATGCTAAAGTTTAATTGAGCTATCTTGGGCCTTAACGAGGATATCACGTCCTTAAATGGAAGAGTTTATAATATATTAATTAGTCTCACGTCAAAGTAGATAAAATTAAGATATACTTAAAAGAGTTTGAAAGGTATATTATTAATAATTTTAACTTAAGTATTTTAACATATGATTTAGGTCAATCTAAATTGATAAGTTAATTATCCTATCAGAACGTGACAATAATAATAACCTAAACTATCTATAAAAGAAAAGTTCACTATATACTCCTAGCCTCTCAAGTCATCGTGAGATCATAATATATTGTATCCTCCATTTCATTAACTTATGTTTTAATTAGACATATTTATATAGAGATCATAATATATTGTATTCTCCACTTTATTAACTTAAGTTTTAATTCGACATATTTATATAATCTCTTATCGAATACCTTTTTGTCTTTCATCATCAAACTTGTAAGTTGAAATGTTGAGCTTGAGTTGGTTTCAAATTCTTGATATATCAAATCCTTTTTATCTTCGGTCATTAAATTTATGATGAGTACCAACGTTGAAATTGAGTTGGTTTCAAACTCGGATCCATAATAAAGAAATATTATATTTGGACTATATCATTTATTATTATTGTTATATCATTTAATGATGTGCTATGTGATCATCGTTTCCCCTTCAATAAAATTATACATACCCAAAATTAGTGATTTTGGTGACTACTCTTTCATTTTATGTTCAGCATTTATATTACTACATATCCCAACAACTAATGGAAGTATCATTGTAGTTAATTTTTGTCGGTTACAGTGCTAGTATTACTTTTCCGTTACATAGTTATTACTCATTTTATGTCGATCATTACAATTACTTATCTGTCCATTAATTTTAGTACATTAAGGTTTTTTACCAACTAAGCCAATTAAATTATATGATTTTATTCATATAATTTTATTATATTTTAATCCTTTAATTTTAAATTTTTATGAGAATTTCAAAGAGAATTATAGGTATTTTAATTTAATTTTTAAATAGTCACCAGTAACAACGGTTAAGCTGATGCTAATTGAAGTGACATATATAAGTGATTTAATATTTGAAGAGATACACATGCAAGGTATTAATTTTTTTGAGGGGTAAATATGTTAATAAATATGTAAAACCAATATAAATAAATAAATAACTATATTTATTTATTTATTTAGAGAGAGAGAGAGAGAGAGAGAGAGAGAGAGAGAGAGAGAGAGAGAGAGAGAGAAAGAGAGTATTCTGTCAGATCGCGTGACATAAATAACGGAAATACAATGCGTGGGGTCGACGCGGGATGCTTCCATGCATCTTCCGCTCCATTAAACTAACCGTAAACGAGCACCATATGATGTGAGCGAATCACAACAATGGTTTGTTTGGTCCTCATACGTCGTGCTCCAAATCAGAAACCTATTCCTACGCGATTGCGACGTACCTTATCGGTGATCGGCCAAAGTGATGGGCCCTAGCGAATGGACCCACCGGGTCCTGTCGCTGCCTCAGAACGTTTCGAACCGGGTAGTAATTCGACGTGTGTTCTTGCACGTTCGACCGCGAGTTAGGATAAACACATCAGGTGTTGTTATGTTATGATCACCGTCCATTTTTCCAAATCGATGATCCTATTTTCCCGCATCATACTTTTATGCGTCAACTTGTTCCTACGCTCGTATCAGATCTAACGTTCTGCTGTAAGAGCAGCGAGCGGACCCGTCGGCCCCCCAATTAAATGAATTAGAATATTTACTATAAATCAATAAATCGAGTATTTCTCAGCCTGCTATAAATACTTCCAACGCCCCCTGTGTCGCATTTCTTTTGTTCGTTCATTTCCTATCATATTTTTATCCTTCTCACTTTCTCGCCTTCTGTTGATGCCCTAGTTCTCTTCGATTTCTTTCTTCTCGGTATTTGGGCTCCGGATTTCGATGGGCGTGCGGATTGGGAGATCTAGATCCGTGATCTTAACCGGTTTCTTCGTCCAAGATCTGAATTCGTGACCATTTATTGGATTTGGTGAAGATGAGCGAATTCGTTCGCCAGTGATGGATTGATCGAAGGTGTGTTTTCATCGGTTCTATTCTGGTTCTGTTCCAATGCGTTCATAATTGGTTGAGTTCTGTTGGAGTTGTGTTGACGACGTTGAGGTATTTTGGCTCCTTACTCGCTTTATCTTTGGAATTTGATTTGATTTCCTCGAGGAGGGCAGCATAAGATTGAGATATCATCGATTGATTGATGATAAGGAGAATCGTGCTCTGAGAACCTTCCGATGTTGGAGGTTTGATGACCATTGTTTTGGTAAATCTTTTGATAATGCACCCTGGTTGATGTTATTGTCCATGACCTCATGGTTCACTAAAACATGGAGGGATAGCTGATTTGGGTAAGAAATATTAGTTTACGAGATGTGGTGATTTAGCAATTAAAAGCTGTTTTCTATAGCTTGTGCATGTGATCACTTGTTTCTTATCTGTAAAAGAGCTGACCGTACGTCAGAGCCTTCAAAACCATTGTTTCTATTTTGGCCAACAGTATCTGTTCGTTCTTACAGAATGTGCAATGGCTGCAACCCGTTACAGTTTATGAATTCTCTGGATAAGTAATCACAAACTTTCCTGGTCATGACACTTGGAATTCTTCCATGTAAGTTGATGTAGGTTACATCACAGGGAAATGACAGTGCTTGTTACAGGAGATTCTAGAAACCCTGATAAGATTCCATGCATACGCAATAAGGATTGTACTAGCTTCTGATATATACTACTATCACCAAAAATATTATTCTGTTTTTAGGTTTTATGCATTAGGTGAAACTTGGGAGACTTATGCAGTCAATTATATTTGTGAGCCTATGTCTGTGCCAGACTATGTTGATTGATTCTTGCTTGGAAGCTGACAATGGCCAAGATGCCCTCCATGTGCTTGATTGAATTTCTCTTAAACTTGGATCCATTAAATTACAATATGTTCTAAAACTTATGTGCTAATGATTTAATCATTCATTATTTGAAAGTCAGTAGCAGTATTTTTTTCTCCAAGACTTCTTAATGATTGATCACTATGGCAGTAACTTAAAATCAAGATGTTCTGTTTTACCATTGATCTTCAATCTTATTCAAGCCTCTAAACTTATTGCTAGATTTTTGGCAAAGTCAACTTTGGGCTGGAGGGGTTTGAGACCTAAAGGCTAGTTGGCCTCTAGTATAATCTCATGTAAATAAACAAGCAATTATATAGAGTTTCCTTAGATTAAGAACAAGACTGAAACTTTTTTTGCTGCTGTTATTTTGGTGGCATTGTTGAGTTTATGATACTCATTTTAATATTATGTTGGATATGGAAACTATGCAGAATGCTCTACATGATTATTCAGACCTATAAAAGCTGATTTTCTTGTGATTGGTATGTTAAGAAAAGCTTAAAGAAATCCTTTATTCTTTTTCTCATCCTGACACCAAAAAAGAAATCCTTTATGACTTAGAAAATTGTCATTTTCCGATGCTTATTAATTTAGACACCACATTTTCAACTGATGACTAAGAGTTCTTGTTTATTGTGGATTTCTGTGACCAACTATATAATTTAATTTTTGCGATGGTTTTGGCTGTAGAAATACCTGATATCTCTTTTGCAACACTTGCAAATTCTTTTTATATTTTCTGCGTTACGCCATTAGATCTCATTTATTGCAAGCACTGTTATTAGTTTTATGGAAGTGATGATGGCTGAAAGCACATGCTTGGATATTTTTGTTTGGTTAGTGATCTTGTATCTTAGAAAATTAGAATTCCTGCACATCCTTTTTACTTCGAATGGCTTTAGTTTCAATAGTGAAATCCATCTCAAAGTTTGGTAAATATTGATCATTTCAAAGCCTAACATCTGATGTAGAATAACATTTGGAAGTCTTTTAGCTACTTAAATGCCAATTTCGGTTCTACTTTCATACTAATACATCATAGCACAATGGTTAACTTGTAAGAGCTAAGGTAAGTTCTTATACGCATGATGCAACTTCTGCTTTTTACAAATCTCACGATGAAGTTTATTTTTTGTTAGGATCAAGAACATGTGATAATCAGATTGTTGTCAGTTTCTTGTATGCTTTTTGAGCTTTTTGCCTAACCCAGATTTATTATATTTGTAGACATTAGGAATGATGGAGGAAGAGAATTTAATAGAAAAAGTATTTTGACCTTCTTGGTGGTCCTTCTTTATATAGTTCCCAGTTTCCTCTATGGGGTGAGAAGTGAGTGGCAGTTTTATATTTTCTGAAAAATGGAGTTGTCAGGTGATTCAACACAATCTGAACCAGGAACTTCTAATGCTGCTTGGTGGGCTTCAGATCTTATAGAAAATTTAAATTCTGTTTCTTTGGCCCCACGAGAAGAAACTTTGACTACTGGAGAATCTGCAAGTGATGTGAGGCTAGCTGTACACTCATCTCAGGTTGCTTCTCAAATATTGTGGTCCACTGGAACCTTTTCAGGATTGATACCTAATGGCTTCTATTCTATCATTCCAGTGAGAAATAGAATCATTTATCAGATATTTTTAATTTGCTATCTCTATTATTTCTTTAAATTGTTTTGATTCCCTTGAGCAATAAAAAGTTTATTTTTTTAATTAATGCAGGATAAGAAACTCAAGGAGCTATTTGACACTATTCCATCTCCTGATGAGCTTTTCTCTCTTGGAATGGAAATGTCCATGGCTGACATAATTCTTGTAGATGCAGAAAGGGACAAGAAACTCTCCATGCTGAAGCAATTAAGTGCTGCCATGGTGAAAGGAATATATGCGAACCCTGCTTTAGTCATAAGAAAGATTGCTGGTTTGGTATGTTCTTTTTACTCTTCCTAGTTTGGCAATCCTAAAAAAAAGTCATTTTCACCCAACTAGCATGCAACAAATTATCAAGGGTTGACTCAGTCAAACACTTTAAACCAGATTGCATTAGTTGTGGTTTTTTGTTACATAGATGTGGTCCTTCAGGTTTTGTAATACATAACTGCTCTGATATTTTGGGCGATCTCCAAATTTGTTTTGGTTTCACATTGAACACTGTTGTCATTCTAGATCAATCTCATAATTGCACTTTTTGACTTATAGAAATTTCGTAGTCCAGGAAAGTAAAATTTCACAATTAGAAAGGATGAGTTTGGAAATATGATGAACACATTGTTGATATGTAGCAAATTTTAAGGTTGGAAGGGTGGCAGATGACACCTTTCTCAACCTCATGAGTTTCTTAACTTGTCTTGTTACCAACTTATGCAAAATAGAGTGTCATGACACTCTAAATCTATGTGTGGCAATTGCACTGATACAACAAAATAATTAAAGATAACTGAATATATTTGATGGAGTGCAAGGAATGGTGGAAATTGTGAAGTATACTAGAATCCGTAAGCAACACACATCAAAGACAGTGGAAGATAGCTATAAGGCCATGCAGCCTAAAAATGCATCATTTCTTTCATAAGAATTTTATCATAACTTATTAATAAACACAATAAAAGGAAAATATATGATTACATAAAGATTGGTAGCATTTCACTTGTGAAATAACTTTCTCAAAACCGAGGTAAAAGTGTGGATTTTCTTAATCAAAATTTTGCAGGAGAGGTTTACTTTTGTTTTACGACTATATTTAACTAACCTAGACACATCCATGGGTCTAAAACTTTTTTCCCGAATAAAAGGATGTACCCGATACACGAGGCTTTGCCAGTGTGGGTCAGACTATTTCTTTGACTTGAAACTTGGTCTCCTGGGTCACAAAGGAACAACATTTCCTAATAAAACCTTTTTCCTAATAAGATCCCAAAACTTATGGTAAGTTGGTAACTCCTTTCTAAATAAAATAGATCTAACCATATTAAATTACTCTCCGCAATACGCAACAATATATTTGTACAAGAAAAATTAGTAGAAATACATTGGCTCAAGTCTCAACTAACATGATGTCAAATTACATAGCAATGAATAGTTGAATATCAAAACCTTTATATCTTTGCACACCATACACTGAGATTGGAGAGAAGTACTTTATGGAATATTATATGAATTAATTTATCCCACTAAATAATGATGTTTTGGCTAGTCTTCTTTGTCATTAGATTATTATTATCTCATTCTGTATAATTCGTCAGGTTGTATTGATGATGTTTAAGAGAAGGAAACGTGTTCGTTTTGTGAAATCGACCAAACCATTAGATTTTGTTTTTACACATTTAAGAAATATAATCCTGGTTATGGGTGCATTAGATTATTATTATCTCATTTAAGAAATATAATCCTGGTTATGGGTGCATTTGCTAAAGCATGTTTTATGTTCTATTTGTGCCTTTGTGGACATTTATATAGACATCAGAATATACATTGTTGCATCTACAGTAAGTTGAATATAAGCATGAAATATGTCCACCCATTATTCAGTAGAAAAATTATCCTCATCATTATTTCTGGTCTTGTGCTTAATTGCTGATTCAAAATCAGGTCTTTGACTTCTATAAGCGTCCAAATTCAGAGCTGAGTCCTGCAAAAGCTTCTGTAGATGATATTTCTCATTTGATGGATAATAAAGGTATCCAACTTCTAGGGCAGATTAGGCAGGGATCATGCCGGCCTCGCGCAATTTTGTTTAAAGTTTTGGCAGATGCTGTTGGTCTTGAGAGCAAACTTGTGGTGGTAATAATGTTACATTGCAGTGTGCTTAGATTGATCTTCACACATTGAACTATGAATATATACTACATGGATTTGCAAATTTTAGCCCTACTTAAATTGTCATTTTGTCAAATTATGTACATATACAGGGTCTTCCTAGTGATGGTGGTGTCGAATGCATAGACTCATTCAAGCATATGTCTGTGGTAGTTGTGCTGAATTCTGTGGAGCTGCTTGTCGATCTTATGCGCTATCCTGGACAGTTAATTCCATTTTCAACCAAGGCGATCTTTATATCCCATATTTCTGCAGCAGGGGAGAGTGACTCTGCTGAGTATGACTCTTGTGATTCTCCCCTTGAACCCAATAGTCCATTATATGGGCTCTCTGACAAAGTGGAGGCTGCAGGGTATGATATTTACATTGATATGATATCAACCTCTTCATGGTTATTTTTTCTGGTGATGTGTCTCTGGTGCTGTCATTATAAAATAGCATATATTTATCCATGGGCTACTTGCCAAATATATGATGTAAAATGCTTCTGTAGCCTACTAAAAGAAGTATCACTGCCCTGCTATTTTCTTCTTCGCAATTATTTGGGAAGTACTTTAACTCAAGGTTTGTAATACCGTACCGTACCGGTATTTCGACCTGGGCTCGGTACCGGTACGGTACGGTATACCGAGCGGTACACTCAGGTGTGCCGATTACTGTAGCACTGATACAGTACTACAGTATACTGCTACAGTGCACTCGGATCGGTAACAGACGGTCCGCGTACCGACAATCTGTCGGACCGGTACATACCGCCCGTATCGGGTGGTATGGTTCGGTACGGCAGACCCTGCTTTAACTTATTCACCTTTGGATTCTTTTTTCCCCAGCTCTCATGCAATCATCTAAAAAAAATTGATTTCATACAAAACTGGCACCAACAGATGGAGGATGGGGTATTAGAGCTTCAAAACAAGTCAACCTAACTTGTTAATTGGATTTTTTTCTGAACTTTTTAGGATGAATACTTTTCCCTCGAGTTATAGTACTTTCTGAGACTAAATATCTTAGAGTCTTATGAATATTATCATTACTATTTTAGTATTTTTCATGAGTGGCAGTTGAGCTTATTAGTTGGGAATTAGTGGGTCTTTTTTAAGATATTGCCATACTGTTAATTTCTTTATTTATGTTTTATCTGAAATGTAAATGTGCATGTACTATTTTTTATTGAAAAATCTCTCTACAAAGGTTTGGATGCTCTATCTTCAGTCTCCATTGCCTGTTTACCGTCTCTATGAATTTTCTCAATCTCCACATAAGCCCTCTCTCCATTTATATTCTTCTCTCTGAAGACTTACACTTTTCTTTAATATTTTTGCATCATCCTTAATCAGTTCACTAATTTTTGCCTTCATATTTCAAGACTGTTGAATCCTTTATGTAACATCAGTATGGATTATTTGGTTTGTTCTTTGCTTCCTTCTTGGTCTTTGCATAGTTAGACTATCTAATAATTGGAACCTTTTGATTAACTGAAACTATTGCAGTTTTTATCAGCCTTAACCTCTCTTAAAAAGTCAAATTCTGTGAACCAACCAACAACCCTTTGTGTTTAATTACAATATTCCTGTGAAACCTGTGAATAATTCAATTATTTGACCATCAGAGATCTCTCAGTTTTATTTCCTGTCTTACGACTAGGTTGATTATGTGATGATAACCAACATTTCCTATATCCTCTGGCCCACAATATGCTTGCTGGAAATGGTTGGTTTGATCCTGCATCAATTGAGCTTAACCTATAAAAGGTCTGACTTATCTTTACAAGGAAGTTCTTCACATCTAAATTATATTTACTGGAGCTAATTTTTTATAGATATCTCCAATATTTTTCCTAAGTTTCAAAGTTTTTGTCGAAATTGTTTTATGCTTTGGAAGTATATCATGTAGTTTTTAACAGAAAGACACTAGTCTTTTTGTTGTAAGTAGAAGCAAATAACTATTTTACTAGTTTTGTAAAACATATGGGCACCTAATGTTTTTCCAACATTTTTCTTGTTATTTCCTTATTTTTAAGTTTTGTTCAATACAAAATTGCAAAATTTCCTTATTTACTCTTATTTTTTGTTTTATGCCCCATATGTTTTTTGATGCATTCAAATCACCTTACCCTAATATGGCAGTTCAGAGCACTATGAAAATCTCCAATCTTCATATCAGCGTAGAGTTGACATATCGTCTAGTCTACTTGATCACTCATTGCGCAGGGTTATGCTGAGATCAACAACTTTTGCAGAGGGAAATTTAAGGTGATATTTGAGGTTGAAAATTGAAATGGTCAACCATTGATTCTCGTTTTTTTCACCATTCTTGTTTTAGAACTTAATTTAAGGCTAATATTGTCTAGTATCTTTTGCTTTCTTTCCACTTAATCACATCAAATTCAGTTGTCTGCTTTTTGTTTATTTAACTTTTGCTTGGTTGGATGGCTGAATGAATGTATTACATAGTGAACCAGACATTGCAAATGCTTTCTGGAGGCGCAGCAGCAGAAAAGTTGCTGGTGGACGTACTGCTAGTTCAAGGTTTTTGTTGTTAAAATCCATATGGTTTTAATTTCCTGTGAATTTGTTATGCTTGTTGGTACAAAGTACAGGTTCATATAATCTAGCATCTTGATGCCTTTCTAAAGGGGTTTCGTCTTATACCTTTGTTTCTCCCTCCACTACTAGTTAAGGCTATGACTTGGTGTATGGCTTTCTTGTTGTTGTTGTATGACTTGGTGTACATTTGGGATTTCTATATGAATTTGATTTTGTTGGAAATTTTATGTGCATGGACAGTCCTTTTCTTTGATTGTTAAATCATGTGTCCTGATATAAGAAAATAACAAAAATTGAACCTGTGTTTCTGGGTTTGTTTTGCTAGGCTTGTTATTTATGCTTCATTTGAATCTGGATATCTGGTAATTTTGTATGCTTAGGAGGACGTTCTTGAAATTTTGTATGCTTATTAGGACCTTCCTTCAAGAGTTTTCTCTTTTCTTCTTCTTAAGCATCTCAATTAGACATCCTCAGTAGGAGTGCCTGAAGTGCTGATCACTCTTTTCATGAGTGAGGCAACCATTTGAACATCTATATCTTTGTGGCATGTGATCTCTGATGTAATGATTCAAGTTTTGAAATTATTTTATGTTATTTAAGAAATTGTAAACCCTATAATTTTAGCTATTACAACTGACGGTAAACAGACTTAAAATACCTACTGCTTGCATACTTGGAGATTGTGAAGGACACAAATACAGATTCACAGTGCTGTTCTGACATGTCTGTGGACAATTTTTTATTTTGAGCAATTGATAGACAGATGTGGACAAGTTAATTGATTAAATAATATATATTCTGATTGAATGTTTAAATTTTGAAATGCCTTAATTCTACTATAATTATTTGCATATGGGAAATGTGCATGCTTATCTTACAAAACGATTTTCTCATTTACACAACTTGGTGTTACTGTATTAATCTGTGACTTTCATTAGTATATTCTTTTTGTTTCTCCCCCTATAGATTATGAAAACTTTTAAGCATGTTTGCGACATTGAAATTTAGTTATTACTTGCAGTACAAAGCTTTAGCATTACATCTTGTTGTTTTGATACTTGCAGTCCAGAACATCCTGTATCTAGAGCACGAGGGCGGTCCATGCTTGGTGGTGATAGGCAGTTGTTTAGAGAATATGCAGATGGCGTGATCATTTCAAGGTCCATTAGCTGTCTGTGCTTTAGTTATTCTAGTGTTTTCCTTTCATATTTTTCTTTCAGCTTTTCTTGGAATGACTATTATTCATGACCATGTAAAGTCTGATTCTTACTTGCAAGTCTTTCCAGGTGCAGCTTGATAGTTTTATGTTCTTAGGGATTTATATTTCTTTAATCATTGGAATCCTATTCCATGTACTTACTAGCAAACAATCTGATTTTTATCTCTATCATCTGCTTTATCGTGCCCTTCATCTGCCTTTGAGCATAGTCAAAAACCCCGTGCTTTTGTGAAACCTTTATCAAACATGCTGACTTCAGTACTTAATCACCTTCCCACCCACTACTAACTCTAGCTAGTTTGTGACTTCAGTACCTGAACTAATAGCTCAGGTTGTTACTGTCATAGTTGTAGTTAGGCAGACAACTAGTGCAACTAGAAGAAATTGGGAAAATTCTTGAAGTTGGAGGTTATCAACTAAGATAATGCTTTTCACTTCTTTGATGGCACATGTATATTTAATGACCAGGATATTGAATCAGTGCCCTCTTCTACTTCAATCTATCTACATGGGTATACATGGTAAGCTTATCTCTCACTGGTGTGAACTGGGAGTGTTGCATGAGTTTAATCCTATATGCAGTAGTTGGAAGAGAATTGGCTTAATCTGTAAGGTTTGATAAAATTGGTCTACTACTATTAACTTGGAATTAAACCTTCTGGACCAGTGACTCAAGCCTCTTAAATTAGTGATTTAATTATGTCAGGTCATGACAAATAGTATTAACTTGACTTAATTTATGCGGTAGTTGCAAGAGAATTGACTTAATCTATAGGGTTTGATAAGCATTGTTCTATTACTGTTAACTTGGACTTAAGTGTTTTGGACCAATGACTCAAGCCTATTAAATTAGTGATTTAATTATGTCAAGCCATGACAAATATTATCATAGCAAACCTAATATTGGACATGGTGAGGGACTTAACTATTTTTAATATAACCTTTGTTGTCTGTTGTATTTTTAGCTTTTTTGTGTGGGAACTGATTGTGTTTTGGTATTCTAGTTGCATCTAAATGCTTATAGCATACCCAAACAATTACAAGTGTTCTCAAACTCACTTGCAGGTCAGATGGTGCTTCAACATCTGATGCTCGTAGGGCGCGAAGAAGAAGCATTAGCTTTACCCCGGAAATTGGTGACGATATTGTGAGGTTGGTGTACATTTTTGTTCAATTTATTGTTTTTTATGCATATATTGTAGCTGAAACTTCGGTATATCTATTACACCTTCACTTTTCATCTTCACATTTTGTTGTTATTCCTTTTACATATTTGTGAACCAAGCACATTGTAAATATTTTCTGGAATTAAATATCTGGATTGATTATTATTTTGACAACATAACTGTGTCCATATCAACGAATTCCGTTTTGCCTAACGGGTACATACCGACTAGTATATATTGGTTTGGGCATGAACCGGTGATACATGGACCAGGCCCATTTTGGACGGTCCGGTCCGGTCCAGCTACATGGGAAAAAAATTCATCTCCTCCGCATGCTTGCCATCCAGGTTGCCCAGCTCTAATCATGAGACCTTCGACAGATGTCACCCTTCGTTGCCCACTTTTGTAAGCTCCTCTTCTTGTCTTCTTTCTTTCTCTTCCTCCTCCTTCCTCTTCCTTCACCTTCGGCCACCATCTCCTTTCTCTTCCTTCTTCTTCCTCCTCCTCTGCCACCTCTTCATTCTTTTTCCTCTTTGAATCTTTGGTATCTATCGGTACCATATGTTGGTATGTACCTGTGGGTACCTACTGGTCCAGCTTGGGACTAAACCAGTACAAGATTGCATTCTTGGTTCATATTGTATATAAGATTTTCTTGTAAATGTTTCTGATAATATGAACGAAACAGCATACTTGATCATACAGTGTAGTTGTTTCTACAATGTGAAATGTATTGTCATGTATATGCATTTAGAACTCCTTTAAATTATTTATGGATGTTCATTAAACCACTCTTAGTTAACCAAGGCACATCATTCTGTTTGCATGTTTTATTTAGACATTCTTTTTAGAACAATGTGAACAAGTAAAACAAAAATGTTCTATTTGAGTCCTTGATTTGGAATAAATAAGCTAATGAATTTTTGTATGTAACATCATTATAGAATACAGTAAGCATATGAACATTATATAATTCAAGTTATTGCATTATGCATTCTGAATTCTTGGATGATGATATTTTGTATATGGCTGTCATGTTCCAGCAACTGCTCGATTTTGTTTTTGCTTTTTTCTATGGGAAAACATTTATTGCTCTTCTAGTTGTTACTTGTGTGAAACATATACCATTGCTTGATTGTGCATATTAATCTTCATACTTTTGGCCTCATGTTTTGATAGTCTTTCATCTTTCTTATAGAACTTCCTTTCCAGGGCTGTACGAGCAATGAATGAAGCTCTAAAACAAAAGCGTTTCTTAAGGGATCATGATGGTGAAGGTTCAGGCTCATTCTCTATGAATGATAAATGCAGGTTGAATGACCCACCAAGTAATGTATGTATCCTAATTCCTAGGTTTTCTAATGCTTGCTTCTTGTTTTTACATTCTTATTCATCATTTACACCATGTTGTCATAAAAAGTTACACGTTACAAGATTTTACCACTCTGATATGTATTGTTGTACATTATTTGATAATGCATTGTGTTATCGAGCTATTTCTCATCTTCTTGGCTTTCTATTGTCATATGGATCTCATCTTATCTGATGATTCACATATGCGAGTGCTAATCAAATTCCACCTTTCTAATCTTGTTAAGATTTTCATGCTTGTTGTCATTTATGTTAACAATAAGATATTATGAGGCGACTTGTGTCATGCCAAAGGTATAGCAGCACACTCTAGTCAATGTGCTTGTGGCAGTTGGTATGAGACCCATGATATAACATGGCAACTGTTACATACCATATGCCGATGAAAGGGCAATTATTGTTTAAGGATCTGTTGTTGTATTATCTTACCCAAACTCTTTAATGTTTTCCACTGACTTGCTCCATATTGTATTATTCCAAGGCTACAGGCTACATTTATATTTACTTCTTTATCGTCATAGACGTTATTTCTGTGTAGTATCAGGATATTTGCTGTGCTGATGTTTCTTATAGCTTCTCTAGGACATATAAGAGACGAGGTTCTTAAAGATGCCTTAGTGGAAGATGTCCTTATTGTAGGGAAATCTAGGGGCGACATCATATATGCAGCGGAAGAACAGAAAATAAAAATTCCCAAATTTCCCATAAATTATGTTTGTCGTGCTGTGAAGATTAATGCACAAAATTTGTAAAACAAAAAACTGCGTATATGAAAGATTGTGTTTTACCTAGAAAGATCATATATCCCTGAATCCTTGTAGATATATAAAAGAGGATATACGATCTCTCTAGCGATGATCCACATAGCAGGGCTGCTACGATGCTCCTTAAATCTCCATGCCTGCTATCTGAGGAGGAGAGAGGAGAATAGGAGATGACAACCAAGAGAAGCTCTAGCCTATGAACCTTTGGTTCCCTCCTATTTATAGAGGCCCCTTGTCAGCTTAGCCCTAATGGATCCTATCCTATTGGGTATTGGATCTTCATCCAACTACCCAAGCCTCTTAGATTAGTAGGTCTCTATCTCTATCCAATAATCTCTCATTGGCTTGTATTGGATCTCATCCATAAGATTCAATAATTCAGGGGTTTATTGGATATCCAATAAGATAGGGTTCTCGTAAGGACACATGAGATATCCCTCTCATGACACCGAGAGTAGATGATCCTATATCGACACTTAATGGTTCTCGTAAGGTTGGTTGTCATTCCCGATGATCGGCTCTGCTAGATTTGAAGCTTTCAAACTCATAAGTGTGGTATCAAAGAGTGAAGTACTAATACAGGACATCCTTGGTGCCTTAAATCTAAGGACCAGGTACATCACTAGGACAACAAAATCGCTGTCTAACAATGAGGTATCATTAACCATCTAGCATTTTGTGAGCGGATCAATCAGTGAACTCATTCTTCAATGAGCACTTGCACTGTAGCCCTAGTTTCCCCACATGAGCAGCTATGAGACCAGCCGCTTCCATCCTATATACGGGTATACAGTTCACCAGTCTGTCCGATTATCTCGATGTCCCTCTCGAGTAACCTATGACCGGGATTATTTAAAATCTATGTTTAAAGACGAATCAGTCTCATTATCGTGATCTCGTCACGATCCGATTCTCATTGCACAAATTCATGGACATCACAATATATATACGCAACAAGTAATATAAATTGATAAAATATCAAATAATATAATGAGCAAAATGAATGCGGATCATGTCACACGTGCTATCACTCACGTGATTGGCTTGCAGGGAACTTATGACTAACACTTATCTCTTTTTTTTTTGTTTTACTTGCAATGATAGTGTTTCATTGTGTCACTGAACAATGACATGTCGTCGAAGAGTCACTTAGTTTGCAGCATTGATTTATGTCTAGGTCAACATATTTTGTCATTACATGAGATCTAGGTAAGACAAGTTTAATTCTTCTCATAATAATGGAGGGTGTGAGTCCCACCTTGAGAATTACCTGGGTACCCACATCTACAATTATTTAGACCGGAACCTTTTGAAGATGAAGAGAATAAGCCTGGTGGTTAGTTTGTTGCTATGAAACTTTAATGTTTCACAATTATTTTCTTTGACTAGGTCATTCTACATTCTACCTTTTATTCATGCTCTTTTGCTAAGTCTACAGCTGTGAAGCTAGTCTTTTGATGTATTGCCCATTTTTCCTATACAGCATTTGTGGAACTATAATTTTATGTGATTTAAACTTCAAGTCGGTTTCTTTGTCAGGATGAAGCATCTGGCAGACTTTCTGATACATGTAGTAATTTCCGAAAGCAGACAGGTTCAACTCAGAAGGCTATATCATTGCCCTCATCTCCTCATGAATATAGGGGCCAGACATTAAAGAGAAGTGGGGACTTTCTAAGAACAGAAGTCATGGAATCAAATTGGAACAAACTTTTGCAGACATCTCCCTTTTTGAATAAGCCTTTATTACCTTTTGATGAATGGAACATTGAATTCTCAGAGTTAACTGTTGGAACACGTGTTGGAATAGGCAAGTTAGCTGAAAAAATATTTCTCTCTTGCATATTATTCCTGCAATTTGATTGTTGTTTACTTTGAATTAAGCTGTGCTCATATATGCTCATATTATCTATTCATGATCCTTTCTTATTGGTAACTTATATCTGCAATAGCGTGTCGCATCAGTCCTAACTCTTCATTACTAAAATCTAGCAGATGGATCCATTCCCAACTTTTTTCTTAGTGGATTGGGCAATTATGTTCAAGAAACTCAAGTGGATTATATCAAGCTATATCTGTTGCTTAGTGTAATATGCTGGAATGATACTTTCTTTCTGTTGAAACCATTGTATCACCATAATATTTTTGGATTTATTTTTTGTTGCACTTAATGGAGCATATTTTTGGAGTATTATTAAAAACAAGGTATGCAATACCGTACCGTACCGGTGTTTCGAGGTTGGTTCGGTATGGTACGGTACCAGCGTACTGAGCGGTACATCATGGCGTACTGAATGGTACACCAAGGCTTACCGAGCTATTTCCTCTCACTGTAGCACTGTAGCACTGCTATAATATATTACTATAGCACTGTAGCACGGTCCGTTCGATAGTGGGCGGTCCGCGTATCGGTATGCCATCGGATCGATACGTACCGTCCGTATCGGGTGATACCATTCAAAATTACATACCATGATTAAAAATGTAAATAACTATACAATTATGTGTGTTGTGAAGCGTGAGCAACTAGAAGCAACATTTCTGTGGTAAATTAAATCCTTAGCCCAATCGATTGTCCGTTGACTTCAGAATTAGATGAGCCAAACTAATATATTTAAGATATACATTTTTAATCACCGATTGGCATCAAAAAAGGAAATTTCTTTTAATACCATAACCTACATTATTTTCGCAATAACTAAGGTCATGTCACAAGATGCAAGATAAGTAAAAGAAATTTTTATAGTTGATTGGAAGATATCGAGAGCCAGGAACATTTGGATACATCACAGTTCTTGATAGAATTCTCATATGAGGTCCTAGGAGTAAAGGGCATGTGGTCCTAGGGATATCTTGCACAATTTGGTAAGATTTCAATAGAATGCTTACAATGAACCACATCTGTTCTGCCATTGTGTCAGTACACAGGTGCACCTAGTACCTTTCATGACAACATAACCATTTTTTTCATTCTTATTGTGTGCTGAGGCATGCCATACCATCCTGATTGGTACACATCTTCCAATAAGTTACCAGTATTGGTTTCAGTATTGGTATTTTAAACCTTCTTGTTCTTGCTGTTTCAATTCGATTTCTATCACCTGAAAGAGAGATGGTCTTGAGGTTTTTAGTTTATGAAAAACAGAAAATGTGAAACTTTTCTGAACAATGTTCTGATCATAAGCATTTCTATCTGCCTGCTATATGCTGTTCAGTGGGTACTGATGACCTGCTAAGACACAGGATGATAGACTTGACAATTTGTTTCATCTATCTTTAGGATTCTTTGGGGAAGTTTTTCGTGGCATATGGAATGGTACTGATGTTGCAATAAAAGTTTTTCTGGAACAAGATCTGACATCTGAGAACGTTGAAGATTTTTGCAACGAGATATCTATACTGAGGTATCACTTCCTTGTCGCTTATAAAGATCTAAAATTCTCTTTCTATTTTCTGATGCTTTGTTCTTACTACATTTTTTTTCTTTTTCAGCCGTCTCCGGCATCCGAATGGTAATGATTTTCTGCTATCATGTGATAGATTAACAATGAATTTTCCACACACAATTTTCTTCACTTATCTTTGTTATATTTCTTTCTGCAGTTATATTGTTTCTTGGTGCATGTGTGAAGCCACCACATCTGTCATTGGTTACAGAATACATGGAGATGGGATCTTTATATTATCTTATACATACTAGTGGCCAGAAAAGGAGGCTAAGTTGGCGTAAGAGATTAAAAATGCTTCGTGATATTTGCAGGCAAGCATCAATAATATCCTACTCATCTTCTCTCCTATGGTTATCCATTTTTCTGTGTCTCATATTTGCTTTACCATGCTTCTGTTTTGAGTATTTATCTTCTGTAATTTGCATCGTGGCATAGCCCACTTGTGCATAGGATTCTCTTAGAATGGGATGAATTGCCTAACCATTTATATTTGATGGATATTATTAGATTCTTAGTTGTCGATGAAAGTATGCCTTTAGTGTTTCTTTTCTTTTCTTATAATCACTCCTTTATTCATTTTATTTATTTTTATTTTATTCTCTAAAGAAGTCATTATCTCTTTTCCCTTCCTATAGCCCATATTCCATTTCTTATCAACAGTTTTTTGTCCATAATCTACTAAGTGTGGAAGATTTTGGAGGTCGGCACCTCAACTATTGTCATGTGTTGATATATCTGATATTAAGACATCCTTATTTCTTTGTGTACAATATTGCCATCAAAGGTTGCCATTTCATGGCACAAAGGTAGGATAATACCTTTCTAGCATGGAACAATTCCATGTTGTGTTGTTCATTACACCCCTGCGCCAACCAACATAGGCCAATGTTGATCTTGTCATAGTTGATACATCCAGCATGGGTCAGCATGGTCTACGTCAAATTACTTTCTGAGACATCATGAGGTAACTCATGCTGACGCAGTCTAATTGACAGTAAACATTGGCTATCATTTTACTAGATAAACTCTGCTTCAAGATAAACATACCTTAATTTTTATTCCTAGAATACTAGTATTAACTATAGATCGCCCACTTGTGTTTGGCTCAATTTCGTTTTATTTACTTCTGATATTTTTCGTAGCATTTTGTCCACATCATGGTAACTCCATTAGGCCACCTCGCAGATGCTGCTGGACCTCCTTAGCAATAGGTCAAGGAACCTGTTGAAAATCCATTTAGTGTCCCTAAGAGTACAACAATGTTTTGTGTACAGAGAAAGGATGCTCCACTGTTCATTCACATGTTTGCATTAGGACTTTAGGGCATTCAATCAAGTAGATGATATTTTAATTGATGTAACCCTAATGGCAATTACATGTAAGATTGATGAAGATTCATACAGGTGTGTAAATATTATGAAAAATTATACATGTAGGTGAAGTGGAATCAGGTGGGCCCTACCACAAATGAGCTAACATTAGTTTTACCTTCACCCTAAGAGTAATGATGCGACTTCTTTTAGGTAGACATCCAAAACAATTCAGATTTCCATGTTAAAGATTTGTAGGAAAGTAAGATAGTAAGATGATTTATTTAAGAAGATCAGAGTGAGCAGCATTAGCTTCATAAACTTTATAGAATTCAAGTGATGGAAAACTATCACAGTGAATGTGGTTGTTTTTGTGAGTCTATTTTTGCATTAGAAATTGGATAATGAAATTCCATTGCATACATAATAACAAGGTTTGTGACGTTCATCTTACTGGTCCAAATCGATGTATTGACTAGTCGACGGTACGATATGTACCGCTTCGTATCGACGTATCATGTGTCGATACGATGGGGGTGTACCGACAGCACAAAAAAATGACCAAAAATAGTTCCAAAGATTCATAAAAAATAAAAAAATTACATTAGGGTTTTTAAGTTAAAAATAAATAAAATTTTAGTAAAAATAATCTAAATTAGGAAACAATAATGACATGTATCTTTTTCGAGCTTTGAAGAGTAGCTTTGTGATACGTTCCGAATCGTCCTTTCGTTGATATTGAATTATCTACAAAGAAGTGATTTTAATTGTTAGATTATTTGTTAAACATCTTAAATTTTAAGATATAAATGAATCAAATAATTGATCGATAGATATACTTAGTTCTACCACCAAAAAGAACGACAGGACTCCACGAGCGGTAGAGCGGGGTTCTCGATCTTATGTATCTGTATATCAATTTAATATGTTTGTCAGACCCAATCCTAAAATTAATCCAATGACATAGTATACTAATACACCGTATGTCATTGGTGCATCAATATGGTGATGAGCGTAGTAGTCTGATCATTGTGAACTACACATATCCGAGGCTGCTCCTAAGGCAAGTACAATTATGGAATATATTGATTCAAAGGTTAGAGAATGCCGTAACTTCTACTTTTGTCACTGATCTGTTGCTCCATATCATAAGATCGATCACCATACTACTACTCGGAGAAGAATGACCAACTATCATCATATTGTTGTTGGCCATAAGATTCTCCATAATACAGCAGTTGTGAATACGACGAGCTCCGCTCTTTGTCTACTTCGTGTTGGCTCAGTCGTATCTGCTCAAAATCATCCATTGTCTTCCCCTTCCGTGTATAAATTTAACCAGCACCTCATCGAGCTTCATGATTTGAATCTTGGGTCGTATGCGTAAAATACTGCTACACGATCCATAAACCTTCCTCAAACTGTGTAGACAAGACCATTGACTCCCGACATTGTCGCCATTATAGATCGAGGCATTGCTTTCCACATCGTTGCCATGTTTCTGGATCGAGTGCGTTGCTGAATGCGATTGACAAGGTGTTTTGTCGTCCGACTTGATTCTTTCCAACAGTGCAACTAATACTACTTTCTTTCCCTTTGCCTTTGCCTTTGCACGTTGGGCGTCTCTAGTTCCTCGAGTAGTTTAACTTGATGTTGTCTTGCTCCTTTCGCAACATACTGATCGAGAGGGATCTTCCTCTTACTGGGGTTGTGCTTTCCTCTTTTTTTTATTGCTTCAGTGACAAAACACGAAGGACGTGAAAGATCTCTCACCTCATCAACAAGAGGATCCTCGTGATTCTTCTTTATTTTGACCTACCATCAGTTGTGAATCTTCGTTGTTCTGTTGAAGGTCGATGGGAACAATCTCTGGTTCCTCTGGCTCCTTGTCCAGCTCAACATATCACAACCTTAGCCGCATGTTGTAGTGGACATATATCAGTTTCTACAGCCATCTATACGATCATCTATTGTGGATCTTCGGGTGAATCAATATGAACATTGACCAGTTATGTTCACAACCACTCAATGTTGTTACCTGCAAAAGGACATGTACGGTAATCTTCTTTAAATTTGGTGTATCCCCTCCAAATTGTAGCCACCACTCGATTGTAAAAAGATATAAACAGGACTTTATTAGCATAACAAATAATTAACATCAAATATAGTTTATAATCAACATGTGTACAACTTTCCCTTACCAGGATCCATACTATAATGACACTATATAGTATATAGTAATATCATTGGAGAATGAACCAGTTGTTTCTCGAAATAATTGGCTCTCTATAATAGCATCAACTACATCGATAGTGTTTGGCAAGATTCGATATATAATATTTTTTTAATATCGACAATAAATCTAATCACGTTTCAAGACAATATCAAAATTGAATGGTCGGATTTAAATAATACGTTGTAAGACAAATAATTTCGTTAGTATGAAATTTTCAAATATTGAAAAAATGTGAATTAAATTACACTAAATATGAATTTACCTGCATTATGGATATCGTAGTCTATTTTAGATTGGTTCAGCATATGCTTGTCATGTTACTCTCCAATTGTTGCTTGTCTGTATATAACCATTCTGATGGTGGATTTGTAGTTCTGTCAAACAACCAAGAACTTACTTGGTACCTGCCATTTAACTTGGTCCCAATTAGGACAACTCCATTCTCAAATTCTTTGTAGTAGTCCTCTCTTAAATATGCAATCTTCATTATTAGTCTTGCTTCAATTCTTGCACCAAGGTATGGAATACTGTTTGGGTAGGTCAATGTGATCTGATATTTACTGGTCTGACAGCCAATTAAGATGTCAACGGAATGGTTTGGCTTGATCCAGAATGGGTTGTACTGCCCAATATACGTATTGGCTTGCTGGATGATAAAATAGCCTGGTACAATACAGTACCAATCAGTAAGTTTACCATACCTATTATTATTTTTTAACAGTTGTATTAATAGTTGTTTCGTTTTCATGCTCTCACTCTCTGCCTCTGCCCTCCTCTGCTGCCACCTCCTTTACTTGCACTTCTTTTTTCTGCCATTGTGTACTCTTCCCATGTTGCAGTCATTTCCATTTTGTTCGGATTGTTATTTTCTCCAACTAGTATCTCTTCTTTTCCTCCTCTTTCTCCTTCTGCCCCTTTCCAGCTCCTCCTTTACCTCCTCTTCCTCCAGCTCCTCTGCCAATCCTCCTTTTCTTCCTCCTCCCCCACCTCTCTCTTTCTCTCTGGCCCAGGTGGAACCACTCCATTCCGAGTATCAATATGGCAGTGTGTCAGAACTGTACTCTTCCAGCCACCAATTGGTAACCTCAAATTATTATTATTATTCCGTATGATGCAAGGTAAATATGCTCATATATAAATGTTCTATTCTTCTGGGATTCTACATTACGGATACTAAAAGTCGAGCTTTCTTTTAACCTAAACTTCTGTATTGATTTGGGAAAGCTCAAAAAAAAAAAGAAAAAAAGAAAGATCTTTGACTTGCCTTTTACATTTAAAACAAATTTTGTACAAATTAAATATGGCTGATGCTTATATGTATGATATATATCATGAAAAGGTGAAAGAAGCCATCAAATAGGAATATTTTGTTGCAGAAATTGTCAGGTATTTTTGTTTTATCTAGCTATTTCACTGCTAAATTTTCTATCTATTCAGTTCAGTGATCTTTTTTCTACAATTACTTGTTTGCTTTTGGTTGATAGTTATGATTTATACATTCTCTTATATGATGCTTGCCATAACATTTTAGTTGAATCGTTAAAAGTACAAAATGATTTTAGCTTCATTCTGCTATTATCTAAGCAAAAAAATGTTATTACTGCTCTATAGAGTGCCAGATAACTTCTGGCCAACACTAGAATACCTTCTGGTTATTGTTTCTCCACTCAAATTCTGTAAAGAATTTGACATTTTATTTTGGTACTCCCCTTTTGGAACTGACTGATTTTGGGCTGATTGCATATTCTGCTTTGAAGGAAAAATTCCGAGTACAAATTACATTTTGCTGTGCCCTTTTCATGCATTAATTTCCCCAGTTACTTGTTTGGTTGACAGCTTAGTTTTCTTCAAAAACCTGGATATAGGTGATCAGTGATGGTCCATTTAGAATGATAAACTATTTAGTAACACTGTTTGCTTTCGCAAAAGAATTATCATTTGATACAAAAAGCATATATTTCTGCAATAAGTACTCTTATATTGTGGCCTGATTATTTATTCCGTGATATAAAAAGGGGGTTGATGTGCATACATCGCATGAAAATAGTCCATCGTGACCTAAAAAGTGCAAATTGCCTTGTGGATAAACACTGGACAGTCAAGATATGTGATTTCGGACTTTCAAGGGTGATGAAAGATAGTCCAATGAGAGATAACTCATCTGCGGGAACCCCAGAATGGATGGCTCCTGAACTCATACGCAATGAATCATTTACAGAGAAATGCGACATTTTTAGCCTTGGAGTTATAATGTGGGAGCTTTGCACTCTCAATAGGCCATGGGAAGGCATACCACCAGTTCAGGTAAGAGATGGTGTAGGTTTTTGTCCAAAATATGTTCTCTTGATAAAAACTCAACCTAAAAGAAACTACCATCATTTTTTTGTGCTGTTAGGTGGTATATGCAGTTGCTAATGAAGGTAAAAGGCTAGACATACCAGAAGGCCCTCTTGGCAGCCTAATTTCAGGTACATCAAACATGGAGCTAGACTCTTTCTGATATCTTAGTTGTCCACTAATCAACTGAAAGTACTTTACATATCTGCTGTAGATTGTTGGGCAGAACCCAATGAGCGACCAAGCTGTCAGGAAATCCTCACTCGCCTCCTCGATTGTGAATACTCTCTCTGCTGACTTTTGTGTCGACTGTAGCATGTACAGCAAGTATACAGTCGTTTATTTCCTATCAGCCTTATTTGTAAATTGATTTATCCATTTTGTGTTGTGAAAGTAGAGCTAAGTGATTTATTGTTAGGAAATGTTACATTTGTGATAGAGTTGACTGTCTTCTGGGTCAATTGATACAACAACTTGCACCTTTTTATATTTATATCTTCGACAAAAAATTGTTTTTATTTTATCTCACTGGTGAGGTTTATTGGTTTTTGCAGGTTAGCTGGTCTGCCCATCTACATAGAGAAAACAGAGACAGCTTTCTCGAAGATTGTGCCTCCTCCTGCTGCCCTATACAAGATACCACTATCAAAGATTGGCCTCCTGTTTGAAACACGGGTACGGCCGCTCGTGAGGGTCTGTTAACCGGCCTTCCCCTTCTGTGTCATCGTGTCCCTGTTCCACAAACTAGATTCTGCATTCTTTTTTTTTTGACAAACCACCAAGAGTGTTACCGCCTCTTCCAACTCTACGCAGTCAAACCCAAATCACAGCCCCAGATAAAAAGTCTTATGACCTGTTGCCATCACTACCTCTTTAATCCATTAGGTTGAAAAGAGAGGAAGAAAGATGAAAGGAAAAAAGCTGACTCCGACGTCTTGTTCATTAGGAGATCCAAGTTTGGACCGCAATATTCCCTCTCAGGGAACCCTCTATTTAAAGTTTTAATGCGCCTCGAGTTCTACTTTGCTGATCACTTTTCCTCTACATGTACATGGCTGAAGTGGCAGCAGAGCAGTTGAAAGCTGAGTTGGAGGCAGAGAGAGTAAAGAAGCCGCAGTTCGAAGTGGTAGCCGTGCTGTTGTCAGTTGAATTGAAGGTCAGAACAACAGTTTCCAAAAGTTGCGTTGACGCTCGACATCGTCTCATGTTCATACATGTTCCGCTGAAGATCCAGCGTCACTGGTGGGTCAGTCTTATTCTGATCATTTTATCTTTGTCAGAATGATTAGACTTTACAAGAAAATGAATTCATTTTTCTCAGCCGCATCCATTCATGCATGTAAAACAATATTAGTGATCAAGAACTAAGTTACGTGACTAATTAACCCTTTCTTCTTTTTTCTGTCGGTCATTATTGAAACGACTTTAAAGTAGGTATCAATCATCCATATGTTTGGCGACTCTCAACACGTCACAAATGAGTGTGCGTTTAGGTCTGGATGGTGAAGCAACAAGTTGTCAATAAGATAAGGGAATGACATATACTTTTGTGAGATGACCTATAAAATAAGTATAGGAATGTGTTGGGTAAAGAGCATGAAATAAGTGGATAACCCGTCTCCGTATAGGAAAGAATAAAGGTGCTTTATCTCCGTGTGCCAGATGATGAAAGCATTATTATTCTTAATTAGCTGTTCCTTTTCTTCCATCTCTTTGATAGGGTTGATGCATACAATGCAGACCAACATTATCTAGTCAAAATTCTCGAGACTAAAACTACGCATAATGGGGATCTAAACAGGCGTATGTGGAAGTTTGATGTTCTCATGTTTAAGAAAGTCGTGACTACCATAGGATTCAGAAGCATGTGTGTCACAAAGCAAAGAGGCTGCAGGTAATTACTCTGAATCTTAGATGAGAGGCACCCTTTTATTTAATAAAAGAGTTTTTGCTCCTTTAACAATCCCATTCTTTTGAGGTCATATAATAATTATCAACAGTTAGGATTATTTACAACCAAATTCATGTGATAAACATGTTTGCTGGCCCTATGTGGGGTATGTTTGCTCTCTATTGTTTACATAAACCAGACAATGAGTACTCCATCCACATGTCGTTTATAATGTTTTACATTAGGTTTTATGCTTAAGCATTGCATAATGTATTGTCAACTTTAAACCAAAAAACAAAAAAACAATTAACACCATGCTTTCTCATTCACTAGAAAAGACAATCGAATGTTTTTTTATTGTTTCACAAAAGAAAAGATAGCCCAAAGCACTTTAACCTAACGTTGTTTAGTGGATTAGAAGCATTATTGTGAGCAATACGAATCGCAATACAATAATAATATATTGTCCACTGTGCACTAGTGTTCGTTTGGTGTGCCCTGTCCGATCTTTTATATACGAATCGCAATACAATAATATATATATATATATATATATATATATATATATATATATATATATATATATA